TTCATAATCATTTTAGTTATTTTTAAAAGCACTCCCACTCAATATATATACTATTTTAAAATAGAAATGCAACAAGTTACACATTCTTTTATTTTCTCAGAATTTTACGGAAGAAAGATTGATACTTATGGATAATTCTTTATTTTTTTTTAATTATTTAAATTTTCTATAATTTCAAGATAATAAGGCGAGAATAATTATTACTACTTAAATATTTAACATTAATTTATGAGTTTAATAAGATAATCTCTTAATGTTAGTGAAATCTCAAATTTTATATTTTTTATAATTAATGGAAAATTTTTGATTGCGAGAAGATTTCATGGAAACCGGGTGTAAACGACAATTTTCAAATGTGGAGGTTATCTTTTACTTTGTATGGCAATAGATATGAATTTCATATGTCACGCGTGTACTTCATGACCCGTAACCATACACAGTTATTTTGTATTAGTACACACAGATTTTTCTGTCACTGATTCTCTAATTTCTGGAACAAAACTCTATTCCTAGTTGGATTATTGGAATATTCCATCTTAAGAAATTTTATGTGCTATCATACTAAAATAAAGAAGCCATTGAATATCAAGAATAGTTTTTCTTTATCACAATAGTTATAATATTCTCTGAAACAATAATTGTATCGATTGTAAAATAATTATGAATTTTTATGTTATATATTTTTATTATTGTATTCATGTATATAATTTTATTTTAATTTTGAAAACAATGAATTGTTTACATTTTGATTTATTCTTCATTTTTATATATTGCATAATACTATAATATTTGCATACAAATTAATATATTTTATTTTAGAACATGAACTTTTAGTTTAGATTGGATATGTTTAAATTCAATTTATTGATTTAATTCTACTCAATTACATATTGAATTAAATTGAATTAGAATTTCATTTATATTTATTTGTCAAACTTATTTGCTAATTTATATTCTCTAATTTATATAATGCTATCTGTGATATTTCAAAAATGAAATGGATCAATATTATAATTCATTCATTATAGAATAATGTCTGAATTAAAATAGATATATAAATTAAAATATAGATATAGAAAGTTAGGTAGTATACAAATGCATTGTATACAAATAGATATAAATAGATGTAATTATATTCTATTAATTCTTTCAAAATATTAACAATATCATAATTTTATCTAATATCTTTTTAATAAATAATATAGAATAAAAAACTTTGAGTTTTCGTAAGAATTATCCTTGAGAACATACGTAAACACGCCTATACTATTTGAATTCGAGTCTATTTCTCAGAGTTCCACGAGTGGTATTTTCTGGTTTTCAACGTTTACATTGACGTACATCTGCAGCATAAGTCATGAATATTTATTATAAACGAATGGTTATGCAAAGTGGTGAATTTTCTTTTTCACTTGCTCTCTACTTTTCGTGAATTATCATCGACTATTAAATTATTTCATCATATTGTGTTTTAGTGTCTGATTTTATATATGATTTTATATATAAAATATTCGTTTTTCAATTCTGTTAGTTTTTTTTAGATTTGAATATTTTTAATTTTTAATGAATATTTGCATTCTTAAGAAACGAGTTTGTTGAAAAATTATTAAAGTAGAAAAATATTACTTCGATGAAAAAAAATTATATATTAAATTTTATGAGTTTTTTATTAGATTTTTTTATTAATATTTTATATCTTGTTTCGAAAATTACTTTATACAAAATTTTTCATCGTAAAATTGATAACATTATGATTGGTTATTCTTATTATGTATATAATTTTGGAAAATATTTTTTTTGTAAGTTTTCGATTTCGAAATATTTTAAAAATATCTTTCTTTTTAACATCGAGTTTATTATCCTTTTTTAATAGATTCATATTGTATTTAACAATTTTTAGAATGCATAGATGAATATAAACTATAAACAATTTATAATAATAAAAATTTAAATTTCGTGAATCTAAAGTACAGTATTATCAATTATATGATTTTAGAATTATATTGTATAAGATGTGACGAAATTGTCAATCTTGAATTTTAATATCGCCGAGGTCAGGCTTGTTAATTATTATTTATGTAATACCTTCTTGTCGCTCTGGACAAATGCTTGGAACCAAAGCGAAAATATGATAAAGTAACGTTTCACTTATTTATGAATTATCATTGATACGATTATCGAATAATAATTTTGTATAGGTTAGAAATATGCTATAGCATATGCTATTAATGATTTCTTTTGCATAATCATGTTTTTATTCATCTTTTATTCATAGTAGATTTTAGTATTCTATATTATTCAATGTTACTTTAATCGAGTATGAACCCCTTGGTTCGAATATGTATATAAATATATTTGTATTCAAATGATTTTTATAAATATTAAAAAATCCAATTCGTTTTTCTTAAGCATGATCAATATTTTAATCGATAAACGAGAATTTAAATTTCGAAAAGAGAGATAAATCTCTTCTCTATCTTTTAATTTTTTTAATGAGCGAGAATGAAGCTTGGAAAAATCATAAAATCATTTAACTTCGTGTAATACAAAATTTTTGAATATCAGAAAAAAAAAAGAAAAAGAAAAAAAATTGAATGAGATACGAAAATTCAAAATCTGTCTTTGAATCGCTTAGAAAACACAAGAATTGTTTAGAATAATTACAGAATCATTTAATCTTGTATAATACAAAATTCTCGGACACCTGGTATAACCGAGTTTACGCTCTCTATTCAACGAAAAGATGAGGAGCATGTTTTCATCCGTACCGGGCGTTTGAAGTCATATTAACTCAGCATTGTTAGCTGGTATCCACCTCTACTATCCCATTATCCCGCTGATTGACGTACATAATTGTATCAATTGCGCAACAAATGGAAATTAGGCTGCTGTGAAATGGTCAATGCCGTGGCTAGAGTCAATCGTCTGCGCAAATACACACGGCGCGGAAATGCGTTTTAAAAACACTTTCTTCGATCATTTTCGGAAGGATTTGTATTACCGACTCGGCTCTTCTGTTGATCAACTTGATGAATTACGACAAATAACATAACCTATATACTATATACTAACCTATAATACAACGACATTGACCCTTGACTAAAAGCTCGACGAATTATGAAAGATCATAAGAGAAAAATAATCAAAAATAAAATCGATGATCGAGCATTTCTGATAGAAATTAAACGTTAATTAATCGAGATGTAGTGTATAAAATGGTTAAATACTTATAATAAAAAATTTGATACTTAAATAAAAATGATATTTAAAAAAATTTTGATTTTGGAACAGATAATTCGGATTTAAAAAATTTTTTAATGATGATTTATTAACTTATTAAGGAGCAATATTATTAATAAAATGTAAATCGTTTAGTTGTTAAACATCATCGAAATATATTAAATATATTTGAATAATCGATATATTGTACAATTTTATTACATAAATCATTATACGAAAAAAAGTTTTGTATAAATCTTGAAACTTTGTCTTACAAATATTAATACGACGTTGAGTTAGTTTGATAATTTGACAATTATTATGTAATTTAAAGGAATTTTTTTTATTTATAACAATTTGAAATTTTTTTTTCATATTTTAATTATTGAAATAATGATTTCATTATTCTTTTGATCATAATTAATTATTAAATTTATAATAATTCAATGTTTCTCTTGTTTAGTTGGAATTCGAGAATAAATATAATTCAAATTCGATTATTCAATTTCGATTGATGATATATGATTGATATAATAGTTTATATATATTTAGATTTCAAAAAATGCATATCAAAAATTGAACAGTCATCTTCTACGTCAAACGAATTGTTGATTTTAATTTTTATAAAAGTGAATTCCAATTAAATTCCAATTAAAAATCGATTATTAATTCGTTTTTGATTTGATAAAAATACATAAAATCAAAATTAAAGTTATACACAGTGACAAGTTATGAGATTTTTTTCGATTTTTTTTTTGACTGATGAAACAAAACAATAAGAAGCATTAAATGTACAATAACAATTTAAAAACTAATTTATATTATATGTAATTTGCGAGGAATGTTATCTTTTTTTTATTTATTCGCACATATGGGATTGGCAAATCGAAATTTCGATAATTTGTGAATCATTGTTTGATTATCGATTTTTCACTCATTAATGTTCAAAGTTTAACAGTCGTGCGTCACATTTGAGTATCCTAGAGATATAAATCGTTGTGTAAACAATTTTTGCAAATAACTCCTCTAAATTTTGCCTCGAGGAAGAGGCAAAACTGATTACTAAGTAACTAGAAATATTAAATACCGAAGTATTAAAAGAGATTAAAATACAATTTTTTTCCGTTTTCATTTCATAATTGATAGCCTTTTCATCTAATCATTATAATTTATGACATACATGGATTTTTTCTTATTTTTTATTTATTTCCTATGATTAGTGATTTTCAAATATCAGTTGATAATGCAGTAATCGAATTTGCTATCAATAAACCTAGGTTTCATCAAGAGATGCTAGTTATCAACATTCGATTATACGAAAAATATTATTTACAATTTTATAATTTCCACCAAGAGAAAAATAAGAATTATATACATAGAATATGTAGAATAAACTTTTAAAAAAATGGATCTTTCTTATTTTTGAGTTTGTATGAACTATCGAACTATTTACATTTACTTACATTTCATTGAATTCGAAGTATTATATGTGAAAAGAATTTTTAGATTATAAGTTTTTAATGATATATTAGAATATAGGATGTTCTATTATAAGTAAAAAATTTAAAGAATGAGCCAAAGTAAGTTAAGAATAAAAAAATGTGTTTTATTTTTTTTAGTAATAATAAATTTATAATTTAATTTACAATAAAATTTGTTATTTAGATAAAAATTTTTTGTTAATCTTAAACTATAATATTAAAATACTACAATTGATGTTAAATTCAACAAATTAAAAAAATAAATATCTCAATGGCAAGTGTTTAAAAAAATGCAATAGATTTTTCTATTAAATTTCACGTTTTTAATTTTAAAAACAAAAATTACAAGTATATCACAAATTAAATTTAATCATCGTTAATAAAAATTTTTACATCTTAGATTCTCGTATTTCTTGATCTTTATGTCCATTATGCTGAGTCGGTAAATTCGATTCGTCGATATGAGAAGATTCGTGAAGACAACAGATGGCGGTATAAGGCCTTTTACGATTTACGATGACGCATCTTCGCATTAATTCTAAAATTTTATTATTATATAATTTCTAAAATTAAATATTAATTAAATAATAACTTAACTTAACTACTATTTAAATTTATACGATAAGACTATAACTTGTAGAAAATATTATATTCGAATCTAGACTAAACTCATTTATATTATAGCAATTATTAATTCATTATATTTGATTGACACTACAATAATTAATTTAAACACGAATAATGAAATTAAACACGATTCACAAGTTGGTAAAAGGAAATATTTCGCTTCTATCACGTTTATTAATATTTATAAAGAGCTTAGATGTCGGTCTGATACAAATTCTACTATATAAATGATTAACATATTTCCTGAAATCATCGAAACATTGTCGATAAATGGCACATAAAATATTAAATATTAAATCGGATGGATAACACACGAGATGCAAATCGGATTATATCGACTGATAACATAATATATTAAATCGATACACTGGACATCGCATATTAGATTAACGATGGTACAAAAAACATCACGTATTAAGTTGACAATAGAGAATCACATGCTATCAAATTAAGTTGACAATGGCACATGAAACGTCACATGCTAAAATCGATGGATGGCACCACATGCTAAGTTAACAATAAGACACAGAGAATCATATGTTAACTTAATAATGACACAAGAGATGTCATAAATTTAACATGGAACGTCACATGTTAAAATTGATAGATGGCACACAGAACATTATATGTTAAGTTGACAATGTCACATGCTATCTTGATAATGGCACAAGGGATGTCAAAAGCTAAATTGACAATGGCACATGGAACATCACATGTTAAATATGTGATAACATGTTGATAGATAGCACACAGAACATTATATGTTAAGTTGACAATGTCACATGGAATATCACATGCTATCTTGATAATGGCACAAAGAATGTCACAAGCTAAGTTGACAATGGCACATGGAATATCACATATTAACTTGATAATAACACATGGGACATCACAAGCAAGTTGACAATAGCACACTGAACACCAACATGTTAAGTTAACAATGGAACATCACATACTAAATTAATGGATGGCATACAAAATATCACGATAATGATAGGAAATTGTGTTAAAATCGCCCATTATAATATGCTTATCGGTATCAGTTAGATATTTTAATTTTTTGCAAAACATGTAACTTTGAAAATGATTGCAACTCACTGATGGTACTGTGGGACGACATAAATTATCTTTTGGGCTTTTTACATATCCAGATTTGCATGGTACCTGAATTATAGAAGGACTTATAGGAATTATAGAAATATAAGGATTAGATGGAAGAAGAAAATCCTTTTCGTTTTTCGGTACTGATTTCACTTGTAGTGGACTTTGAATGTTTATCGATGATACGTAGATTGGTATCGCCATTAGAGATAGCAATAATAACAAGTATTCGAAGAAATTCATTATTTGTAACGAAATATGCAATGTGATTTGAATTGAAATAATTTATTTAGATTACTGTTATTATGTATACTGTTATTATGTATACTGTAGATCGTATACGTAGATTATACTTGTTAAATTTTTTTTTAAAAATACCGGTCACGAAAGATGCGACTATTTATGTAGTGGCAGATACGTCAAGCTTCTTTTATATCGATCTTGAAGGACGCTATTTTCTGTGAATCATATGAATATATAATTTATTCACCATTTATGGAAAATCTAATTGCGATCAATCAAGAAAAATTATCTTCCAAGAAAAAAGATTATTGTGATTTTTATTATGATTTTTCGTTTCGATTATATAAATAGGAAATAATCGGTATAAATACATGTGTAAAATTACATAATGCGATATATAATCACAATAATGTTAAAATGTAACGAGCACATAAAATGTAACAAAATATTAAGAAGTAAAGATTATATCTATAAAAGTTACATAAAAATGAACTTTGCTAAAGCTAAACACTTTGCATTTTAAAATTATTGGAAAGAATATAATATATTTATTTTAAAACGAAGCTCACGATAAAAGAATGAGATAAATGAGCTCCCCTGAAGATTATTATGAGAAACGATTCAATTTTTTTTTTTTTTATCCTTTCACATTTGAATCATTCTTTAAATGAAATTTATTAAAATAAAAAAGTAAACTAAAATACTACATATTTTAAAATAATCGGGCCCCTTAGATATATCCCATATCACATATAATCCAATTCCTTTCCCATTATTGTACGAAATACGTATATTATATTAAATTTTCAAAATATGGGCTTATGATAATGAGTATGGGTCTGAAAATAGGTTATGTTCCCACCAATTTTATATACGATCTCGTTGTATCGTAATCGTATCGTAGCTGCTTTATCTTACGATAATGTCTAATGTTCGGCAGTCTTTTAAAGAAACGCTCGATCACTATCGCCATCAGGGAGCACGAGCAGCAACAAGTGTCTGAAGAAGTCCCCTCCTCGTTGCCTGCAGCGAGAGAACGGCTCGGTCAGATCACATTAGAATTACTTCAATCGGCCTATCGTCTCGCTGTGTAAATTGATTTTATCGATCGAATTTCTTCTCGAATTAATCTTGCCGAAAGCGGTTTTTCGCTCGATAGATGATAGAGCGCTTATCTCTAGCGCCGACATCTTGGCTATATTATTTTATCAATCTTTCTCAGTGTCAGGCGAAATATCTCTAGTTTTATTCGTCATTTCACATTCCTTTTTTTTTTTTTCCATTAATATCGTTATTGATAATATCCTTGATAAATTAATTATTGCAAAGTTGTATAGAATTTTAATACAATGAATTTTAATACAACGAATCTTTCTCAGTGTCAGGCGAAATATCTCTAGTTTTATTCGTCATTTCACATTCCTTTTTTTTTTTTTTCCATTAATATCGTTATTGATAATATCCTTGATAAATTAATTATTTCAAAGTTGTATAGAATTTTAATACAACGAATTTTAATACAACGAATCTTTCTCAGTGTCAGGCGAAATATCTCTAGTTTTATTCGTCATTTCACATTCCTTTTTTTTTTTTTTTCCATTAATATCGTTATTGATAATATCCTTGATAAATTAATTATTGCAAAGTTGTATAGAATTTTAATACAACGAATAAAATTTTAGATTTTACTGAGTTGAAGAAACATGGAAGATGGTTAAAGATAGGTAACAGGTTCTAAGCAGAATCTTCTGTAGAATAATGAATTATGCATTCAAATTATTGTCAATTTGTATTGAATTATGTTCGTATTCTTGTTATTTTTTCCAATCAGTTGATAAAAATTTTATACTTTTTTTTACGTCGGAAATACATAAATCTAAAGATTAAAGATACACACAGATACTGATAAAAATCTTAATTTTTCTTAATTGTTTTTTTTAAATCTTTTCCCTCTGTTTATTCCTTATTCTTTGTACAATACATTCCTTGGCAATAAATATCTTATTCTGTCTAGATAAACGATAGATAGGTAAGCAATTTATTTCTCGATTGTGCACAATAGCTTGATTAACATAATACAATAATACAATACTTCATTAAGTAGCGTCAATATTTGAAATAATTACACGGAAGAAAATATAAATTTCTAAGAAAACTTAAGTATCTTTTTCATTTATCTCACCAATGAGATATTCAATACGAGCAATTACGATTGTTAATAACGAAGAGATTTAAAGAAGTTTGTTTACCAATTTTGAGAATCGAGAATAACTAAAAAATTACATTTTTAAAGCTTACTTTTGGACACTCATTCTCGAGACTGAGACCTTATCTCAGAATTTTTACTCTCAAATTGTTGTTGCCTTCGTATCTTTGCACTTATTATCTTAAGAAAATGAAAATTTTCTTTTTATTTTTCGAAACGTAAAAATACATCTACGCGATACTCGTTCGTGTCAATTTCTATTTTTTCCACGATACTTTATAAATATGCAAAAAATAGATGATAGAAGTGAAACGTCAATTAACGCGTCGCGTGTACAAACATCGATCTACCATTTTCAACCTGGAACCTGTATTTCAGTTCTATAGGTCATTTTATGGATAACGATTGAAGTTTGCGTTAGAAATGAAAGGATTAAGAGATGGTTTCAACGTTGTTTGTTAAAAACAGTTCGACTATTCTCTCTCTCTCTCTCTCTGTCTCTCTCTCTCTCTCTCTCTCTCTCTCTCTCTGTCTCTGTCTCTGTCTCTGTCTCTGTCTCTCTCTCTCTCTCTCTCTGTCTCTGTCTCTCTCTCTCTGTCTCTGTCTCTCTCTCTGTCTCTCTCTCTGTCTCTGTCTCTCTCTCTGTCTCTGTCTCTCTCTCTTTCTTATTTTCCTTTTTTTAAGTTTTCACGTACAATCGATTAGAAATTTAAATTTGGTTACATTTTAAACGCATCAATAAATTCTACGGGAATGGGATGCATGATGAAATGATGATTTATTCAATGAGCAGCGAAAGAAAAATAGCTGCGTGTCCATTTTATATTCAAAGGCGAGCATTTGTTTCCACGATAACATTTTTCTCCGGTTCGGGAAACTTTGCGTTGCCACGCATTTTCCACTGTATTAGCTATCGAATTCGTTATTCGCAAAATGTCTACATTTTGTATAATAAATTGTCATCGATATTCCATAACAAACGATTATTTTCCTATAAATGTACATTTCACTCGTTTGCATATACGTTTTAATCATTTTTCAGATACAATAATTTGTCCCAGTTTTTTTTTTTTTTTGTTACCATATATTTAAAATAATATTAATATAAAAATTAAAAATAATATTAATAAAATAATTAAAAATAATATTAATAATTTAAAATAATATGATGTTTAATAAAAGTATAAAATAATTTTATTATTATTATTTATCGTAATATAAATTGTAGAAAATTGTATAAGTTTTAAATTTTTTAAATTATTCGCGTAAAAAATAAAAATAGGAACAATTCTTATGTTTAAAAATAAAAATAAGAATTCTTATATTTTGCATAGAGGGAAAAACAAAATTTTCTGTTAATTGGATAGAATTGGAGTTCAATTGGAGAAAAGTAAATAAAAATAAAAAATAATTTTATTATTATTATTATTTATCGAAATAACGAATCGTATAAAATTCTAAATCTTTTCAAGATTGATTACTTTCAGTTGAAAATAGAAAAAAATATATATATAAATAGGAAAACAACCCTTATACATTTTGCATTTACTCCATATAAAGAAACAAAAGCAAACTTTTTTACGATTGCTAGAATTAGTTCAATTAGAGGAAACTAAAAATAAGTTACATTTTTTTTTTTTGTAATCCTTTTTGCGCAAACCTTTCTTTAAATCAACAAAAAGACGATTGATGCAACATCGTCGATGAATCTAAAAAAAAAAATTAAAAAAAAAAACAAAAACGAGAAAGATCTCGTCTCAAGCAACAACATTCGATCCTCCAATCGTTTCATCATCTGTACTTATGTATAATATAAACAAAATTAACCTAGATGAAATATTTTTATATAATTTACTTAAAATATTATATTTTTTATAAAAAAATTAACTTACATATAATATAAACAAAATTAACTTAAATAAAATATTTTTATATAGTTTATTCAAGACATTATATTTTTTATTATAAAAAATTATAACTTATGTATAATATAAACAAAATTAACCTAGACGAAACATTTTTATATAATTTACTTTAAAACATTATATTTTTTATAAAAAAATTAACTTACATATAATATTATAAACAAAATTAACCTAGATAAAATATTTTTATATAGTTTATTCAAGACATTATATTTTTTATTATAAAAAAATTATAACTTACGTACAATTTAAAACAGAGATACAACAATTAACATAAATAACGTCTCCTCGATCGATCCTCATCGAAGGAATCGAAGGAGACAACGAACGAACGAAACGAAACGAAACGAAACGAAACGGTTGATTCCACGATATAAAAGATGCGCATGCGCGTTGTACACGGAGCGTCGTCCGTCACGGGGGTTGGCGAGTTTCAACCCTCAGTCTGGCGCCGCGTGCGAGCGCGATTCGATCGCGGCGTTCCCCTTTTCTCGAACGCGCTCCAAATACACTTGCTTGGTATCCAAGAAAAAGAAGAAAAAGAAGAAGAAGAAACGATGATCCGCGAGACGACCGACGCCCGTCTCTCGAGATCCGACGATCCTACCTGAATTCCCCCGTGGCCCCAATCACCGCTGCTCGATCCCAGCTCGTCCAAACCCTTCTCAAAAAAAAGAAAAAAAAGAAAAAACCATTTAAAAACACTTTTATCGAAGAGATTCGCTTCTCTATCGTTCGCTACTCGTTCGTACGATGAAAAATACAAGGAGGATGAAATATACAAACAGAGATCGTGTTCTCGATAACGGCCAAGATCGCGTAGCCGTTTATTTTACGGTATCGTAGTGGTGGCAAGAAGAAAAAAGAAGAAGAAGAAGAAGAAGAAGAAGAAAAATGAACTTGAACTCCAACTCGAGGCTGGCTCGAGCCGTTCTCCTGTCGGGAGACAGATCGTGACCTGTGATCAACAACCTGCGTACACCAACCCTCTTGTCGCCAGAAGATGAGCGCCCCTTGCCTCTGTTACGTTCTGCTCACGTGGTGCACGCTGTGGCCCGCCGCCGGCCTAGCCGGCGAGCAGGATTCGCAAATCGAGAGGCCCGCCGGGGATCCTCTCCGCCATCACCAGCAGAACCATCAACGGCCCTCGTTCATCGAGCGCAGACTGGTCGACAGATCCGAGGCTGCCACCGACTGCCTACCCCCGACCAAGCAACGACGCCTCGACGACCTCCACCCCCAGGAAACCACCCTGGTATCCAGCCTCCCTCTCGAGACGAGCATCGAGAGGCCGGTCGCTCAGATCAGGCACGGTCGCTCGAGGGCCCATTTCTCGAGACAGTCGAAGCCGGGAGAGGAAAGCTCGAGAGGAGGAGGAAGCGTGGGTAGTAGACGGATGGGCGGCGGCAACGAGTCGGCAACGGCATCCGCGCCGAGCGAGGACGTCCACGATCCAACCGGGTCGTACAACGGCAGCCTCGAAGAGGAGGGGCTCTCGGAGGAGTCGAGGTGGCCGTTGGGCCAGGCGACGATCGACGAACGATCGACGGTCGATCTCGACAAGTTGCTCACCAGATTGTCCGAGGCTGGAAGGAAGGGGGGCAGGAGGAAGGGGGGGGAGTCTTTGGAGAAACTGAGGAAAGCGATGGGGAGCGTGGGTAGGAGGAACAGGTCGCGGACCGCGTATCGTCACGGTGCTGGTAGTGTTGATAATGGTGGTAATCGGACCTGGGGGAGTTGGAACGGCACGGGCGTCTACGGCCACGTGGTGCGCGGTGGTTGGCGAGCCGACGAGGGGGGCGACGACGACGAGGACGACGACGCGAGGATGGCGATCCTCGAGGAGTACGACGTTTACGACGGCGACGAGGACGAGAAGGGGGGCGAGAACGGGTACAGGAACGGGTCGGGGAGCGGGTACGAGGAGTACGAGAAGGACGGGGGAGGGAGGAGGCCGGCCAAGGAGCCGGTGCACGTGGACATCGTGACGAGGTTCCTGCGTATAATAGAGAATCAGCATCTCCTCGGCGAGAACTGCACAGCGGGGACCGACTTGAACCTGGGCGAGGGGATCGTGGACAGATACGCGCAGGAGAGGTTCCGTTTGGAGGCTAACCTCGCCGTGAACAGGGCCAACATGCTCACGAGATTGTGGAAATACGCCCCGGACGTGATGCTTTCCTCCGAGTACCTCCTTCACGCGAGCATACTCTCCATGGTCGAGTTCGACGAGGATATATTCGCGGCAGGGAATTGCTACGATAAATTGCAGTACAAGGATCGCTGGCTTTACTGCCCCTTCGCCCACCGGTTGCAGGATCAAGACGGGATACTCGTCAAGGATCTGGCGATCGAGTACAAGTATCTGAGTAACAGCAGCGAGTGGTTTTACATAGCCAGGAAGAACGCGGAGCGGGTAATCGCGAATAACGATCAGTTCAGTCGCGGTGAGTGTTTTTTTCTTTTTTTTTTTTTTAGGGGGAGGGATTCATTTCGATCCTTCGTGCTCTTTTTCTCTTTTTCTCCTCGAGCGTATGTGTATAATACTCGAAATATTTTCTATTATTCTATTATTGTTCCACGTGTAGGAAGAATACTCCATTTTCTTCTCGCAGAGGAGAATCGATGGAATTGAATTTTTTTTTCTTTTTTTTAAAGCGTTCGAAGTTTGGAGTGGATGAGTTTACGGAAAAAGAATATTGAAATAAAATATGCAGAGGAGTTCAACAGTGAGTTGCATAATTGTAAACGTGTATATAATATTTCACGAACACGTCGAGTTTCTTCAAGGATTAAAATAAAAAAAAAAATTAATTAAAAATTAAATCTTAAAAAAAATTATATAGGCACAGCTGCTTGTATCTGTACAAAATGTATGTTACGAAACGGTTTTAATCTCGGGAATTGAATTTTCAACAATTTCAACGAAATTCCCCTCTCTCTCTCTCTCTTTCTCTCTCTCTTTCTTTCTTTCTCTCCCCTGCCCCGCAACTTAATTTCGCGTCTAGGAAATCATTTCCTATCACGGATATTGGAAACGTTTCCCCCTGGACGAAGCAAAAGATCGTTTCAGATTTTAATGGAGGGCCGGCCCTTAGATTACTTCCGCTTCCCGTATGGCGGGTACCTCGTTGTCTGCCCGTGATCGAATGATCGAGCACCGGAACAAAAGAAATATACGACTCGTTTTCGATGAAAATTCTTTCACTTCGATTGCCAGAATCAACGTTCTCTTCTCTTATCTCTTTACCTCTTTCGATTACCTCGTTCGATTCTTATCGATTCTCTTTGTACTTTAGAATTAAAAAAGAGAATAATAAATAAATAGATAAACAAAAAGTACGCGATAAATCTATATAAATAATCTATATAATAATAATCTATATAATAATATCTTCACGTTAAAGTGTAAAAAAGGTGTGTTAAAAGATATAATTTTTGATATATTCGTAAATTTTAGAGATTTTGGATCTAAAGATCGAGATCCCCTTAAGGATAGGATAAGCGAAGCGTAAAATGATTCATTCCACCACGGTTGTTGGAGTCAAGACTTGTTATGTCGGCCACGATATGCAGTCGTTACGTGGCCCACACAAATTAACGCTTGAAATGTTTAATCGCGCTTCGTCGGGTGGCGTGCAGCTGTCGAATATCGTATGAATCTGAATAAATTGCAACCATTAAAGGATTGCTAAAAAAAATTGCGTCTCTCCAGCACCTTTAACGTGTAAAGATGTAAAGGTGAATTATTATAATTATTATATAAATTTATATATAAATATTATTTATTATTATTTATTATTTATATATTTATATATATATATTTTATTATTTATATATAAATAATATAAATAATAGCTATATCGATAATTAATATACTTCATATAAAATTTTAAAAAATATTATTGTACATATGTTAATAACGTTTCGTGTGAATTTGGGGAAAAATTAGAATAATCTCTAATCTCGTTTCATCTATAAACTCAAACTTATATAATTTAAAAGTTTTCGTACAATCGGTATTTTCAATCTTATCTCTTAGCTTTTCTTTCTTATCCACTTCGAAATCACGTCTCTCTGTTACAATGTTACGTCATTTATCGGTATCGTTTTAACGGATATAAATTAGAATCGGAAATCGATAAGACCGTTTCGTATCAAGTATTCACGTATCTCGAATCATCGAGTCGAATTCAAGTATGAAGATGCCACTGTCCATCTATTGTTTATCCAGGTTAAGTGTCTACTCGAGAGCAAGAGGATTGACGAGTCGACCCCCTTTTCGTCCTTTCTCTTTCTTTCTTCCTCTCTTTTTTCAACAATAATTTTAACAAAAATCCTCGAGGCTCGATCGACGTCGACTCGATCACTGTGCCAGTATCCTGTGGCGAGATGGTTCGATCACTTTCACTTTCAAAATTGTTTCTAACTACTACTCAGATTCTGTGGCGGTTGCTTCTGAACCACTCACTTCCGTGGACATGTACAACGTTGGATCGATGGACAGGAGATAATACGTCGCCTTAAGGATTTCTTATGGTATCCTTTACCCTAAGGGCGGATGGAAAAAGTTTTTCGCGTTTATAGGAGTGATTTTTTGTTCCAAGGAAGGGGAGGTTTATTTCGAAGGCGATAAAGAAAGTGAAGAGTTCTGGAAGGAGGAAGGATCGTCGAAAATAGTGATAAAAGAAATTCCAATAGACCTCCATTATCCGAATATCCCGATATACAGACGTTCTAAACGGTTTTTGTCCCAAATTCAAGATCGCAAGATTTGAATTTCGCGCCGTTCGTGCGGTGAAGTGTTGCCAACGAAAAAGAAAAGAAAAGACAGCGCGATTATTAAAATTTTTATTATTATTTTTATATAATATCTTGAAAATAATAAAGATATTTCGAACAAAATCATCTTCAACGACGAGGCTCATTTTCATCACGATGGATTGGTTAATCGACAAAATTATTACGTTTGGGGTTCAGAAAATCCCAACGATGAGTTGAGAAACAAATGCACACAACGTGTCACTGTTTGGTGGGGATTTTGGAGGCATTATTGGATTATTCTTCTTCGAAAATACCAACTGGTCAGGCAATAACGGTTAACAAGTGCTCGGTATTGCGACGTGATGATCCAGTTTTTTTTGTCTAAATTGCAAGATATGGATGACACGTGGTTTCAACAAGACGGCGCCACATGCCACACAACCCGAGAAACGATTCAATCACTGCACGAGTCTTTTCTGATCACGTAATTTCCCGTTTTGGTGATCGGATTTTTTCTTTGAGGTTTTTCCAAGGTTTATGCCGACGAGGAAATCGACCGCTGTGTCAACGAAATTAAAACCACGTTTACGCAAAACGGTCAATGGAAAATTTCAACAAAAGATGGCGTATGTGGCGTATTTATCCGATACGCTATTCCATACATAACCTTACACTTTATGAATCAATACAAAATTTACAATTTTTAATCATAAAATGTTTTCTATCAAAATTACTTCTTTCGTGAATTTTATTACATGTTTTCTGTTATTCGTTTCGTAGCGATGTTTGCATCCAACACATTTGAATACAACGTAAATACTTTTCCGTGTTAACGGTATCACAATGGCAAGTAAACGAGAACGCGTAGTTTTAACTATTGAAGAGAGACACGAAATAATTGAAGATGGCGAAATTAGCAAGATGGCGAATGATTATTCTACGTAGTTGTTTACGATAAAATATTTATATAGTTTTGTTCATTTCTACTCGAATAAGTGAATGCAAAACCATTTTTGTCTCCCTTTATTAGTTCGAGAGTCTCTGTTGTACCATGTCTCTCTATCTGAAAGTAGAAACAATAGACAACAACGAAGAAAAGAAGATATCTCGTAAAATATTTAAAGCGAGAAATTCCAAATTCCTCTTCCTTCGTTCCCTTTTTTCGACACATTGGCGAGTATCACGAGGCATCTCGTTTTAATGTTTCCTCCACGACTCGAGGAATTGAAAACATTCGAAGCAATAATAGGAAGAGAGAAGAAAGAAAGCAGATACAAATTGCAAATTATGAATACCATTTCACGAAGAAGAATCTTCTTCATACTCTCGAGCATATTTCAATTTTAATAATTAATCGATTTAATTTTATTCATGTAACAAATAGTTGTAACAAACAAGCAGATGTTTAAACAAGAGATACACAGTAATATTTAAGGATATAACACTTTACTTAATTATGAGTTAAAAAATGCGCGTACACATTTTTCCAGAGCGTCCAAAAATACGTTGGAATCCCTGGAAGGGAGCAGAGTTGCGTACTGTTGCGTTGATCCAGGCAATTAGACCGAGGGAGGGGGCAAACGTCAAACAATTTTCGATTTCAATTACTTTCGTCGAGAATGCGTGACAGGTGCTGCGCGAGCTGCAATATTCAAATTACGGGCCGATGTTGTAGCTAAGTCGTAGTTTGGCTCGAACACAGCCGTCGAAATACCTATATGCATAATTAAACGGCGAATCGATATCTGATCTGTCGCGTGGAACGTCGCTCGAGTCGTTAGAAATGTCGCCGAACACGTTTCTAAAGGGGAGTTTTCATTTCGCCCTTTCGAAAATTCTTTTTCTTCTTTCTTCCAAATTTTTCTTCCCCTTCCCACTTCTTCGACCCGAGGATAATCGATTTTAACTTTATTGAACGTTATGCTTACGATTTACAGCAGGGACACGTTAGGTTTCCCTGCTCTCTACATCCTTTCCACATCCTCTCCATTTAACGTATTGTTACCGAATGGCCTCGCTTTCCGGAAAACTACACGAACACGAGACGAGTGAAAACTCGTTATATCCCTAGGAAATGGTATACATTTGTAACGCGCTTCAAGTTTCCTCCTGAAATATTTTTTTTCGAATACTTTATCCAGTTCCCTAGGATTTCTTCTTCCTCGAATTCTTTATAATTCGTTTGATATACGAATCTGAGCGTTATATTTGAATATATACTTCTTTTCTTCTATTGCTTAAAAAGCTTCTATAGGAATATCCTCTTCTTTCGAGTCGTAGAGAAGTTTGACAAAGTTACAAATTTGGCTCGAGATTTTATTTTTGAAGATTCGTGGTTTCGATATTCGAATCACAAATTATGGATAGATTTAAGTTGGTTTCTCCTCTTACGTTGGATTTGGGTTTCTTATTCAACCAAGATCTGAACTAAGGTTATTGGCTTTCGATTAGGCTTAGATTAGAGTTGAAATTAAATCTGTTAAACCAGATTACGTTTCCCCTACACGTGTCGGAATCTCGTGGAACATCTAAGTTCGCCACTTCGAGCAATCTTAAATCTTAATCTCCCGTACTTGATTCGCCTTTTATCTGGCTTTATGTTTAGATTAGATAATCTAAATCGGTAACTGATCGTATTCTCGTTATTTGTCCAGAGGGAAACCTAGAAATTTATGCAATTTCG